TGGGGCTGAGGGTTGGCGTTTGGCCCCCGGGAGCAGGCGCTGCGCTCCCCCTGCCCTCCCCGTGGCTCGGGGCTCAGCGCCCGGGGTGCCTGCCGGCCGCCCTGCCGGGCAGGGCGCTCGCCTCACCCCCCCACAGGCACACCCCCGCCGCGGCTTTTCGTCCGGCGGAGACACTGCTTATCGAACGGGGTGCAGGAAGAGGGGGAAGTTGGATTTTGCAGAGCTTTGCTAGGCGGTGAGGGGCTTAATGCAGAACTATTAACCCTCCCAGAAAACCAGATCTGGAGTTTTTATTTAGGAAAAAAAAAAAAAAGGCTAGAATGGTTAAAAAGTAGTTGTTTGGGGTTGCTCAGGCAGACCTGTTACTGCTCAATTGTATGCAAGAAATGAAAATTGTGCAGAATAGCATTTTCGAGATTCGCCTATTAAAGCATGATATTCTGTGAAGTCCTGCTTTTATATTTGTAGCCTGAGTAAGGAAGTGACATGGAAGACAACAGCGATGATCGGTGACGATTAAGAGTGAGTGATTTTGAATATGTTCTTCACAAATGTGGAGTGCTATAGTAGGGTTGGGTTTTAACATGCTGTCAGGGACAGCCCTTAGGAGAAGGCTTGTAAACGTCACAACAAAGCCCTTATGTCTTTGGAAATCAAGGCTTAACAAGATTATAATAGAGCATGATTTCAACAGTAAGGTTTGGAAATCATTAGCTAATTCCTGAGTATCTGAATGGCCTGTAAGAAGCAAGAAGTTTTTACAGTTGAGCCAGGTAAGTACTGAAGAGAGCTTTTTCTGATGGAACACTTAAAACATGAGACCACACCTTCCTAAATGCAATGTCAGAGGCAGAGATGTTATTGTCGCTTAGGTTCAATGGGAGATCACACATTGTTTTTCAGATGCATGATTTACACAGGCGTAAGAAGCCAAGCCTCATTATTTCTCCCACTGCCAGAAGTACTTTTACTGTGCAACTGATCTCCATGGTAAATCTTCATGTATAAGAACCTGAAAAGAAAAAGCAAAAGGAAGATGAGGTTATTTGTAAAGTTGATATTACACAACTAATACATCCTAATTGAAAACCAAATAAAACTCAGAAAAATATATCTCATTGTCTTCCCTGACAAATTCAGTAATTTGGAAACTACTGTTAACTCATTAATTTACATCAACTGGGTCAGCAACTTCCTCTCTGGAGGCAAAAATTCAATGTAGTCAGTTAAAAAAAAAAAAAAAAAGGCCATACAACTTGCTGTTTTTCAGGATTGAGTCTTGAGAATGTTATCCAAAAGCTACTAAATACTGCAGAAAAAAAATATTTTGACTTTGATATATTTTTAGAACAAGGCGAAGGCCAACATTCTGCAAATATTTATGGCTTAGCCACGTTTGGAAATTCCCCAAAGCTATTCCAAAATAATGTTTTTACAGATACTTTGAAGTATGACCTCCACAGGGGCGCTTTGAAAGAACAGTGCTTCTCCCCCACTCCTCTTAATCCATGACTTCAGAACAGTACACAAATTACATTTGGTAGTTTGAAGTGGATCAGAAGAAGTCTCGATCCTGGTCACACATGACTTGACACTGAAAATTCTAAAATTCTGACCATCATTATGTCTTTCTGGCAGAGATTCAATTTTCTGTTCAAATTTCTGGCAGAAATTCAAATTTCGTGTGGCTATTAGTGATCTTCAGTAGTCATTACAGAGCAAGAAATTGTTAATTTTTATTGTAAATGGATTTTTTTTTTTAATTGGAGCAGCTCTGCATTCTAAACCTACATTTGTGTGCTTAAAATTTATTATGAAAACATGTTGTACCCGTTTTCTTTTTACCCGGGAATTTGTTCCTTAGAACTTCTCCCTCTTGTGATGTTCTCTCCCAGTATGACCCTGTCCAAAAGACTGGTTCTATCACACTGGTTTCCTGTAGCTCTGCCATCTCATGAGCTGTACTGTCCTGAGACAAGGTAGTGCCATCCCATGACTGAGAACCTTTGGTGCAGCCTCTGACTTGCCTGCCTTAATAAGGAGGGTTAAACAACCCTGTATTCAATAAACACAGTAGCTCAGGGTGTTGTATCCCAGGTCTGTTGCTAAAAATGGTGTCATCGAAGAGGATTCAAATAATATTATTTTTATTTACAAGGCAGAAGGCACATTAGAAGAAGTATAATATATCATTACTAATTGTTTACTAATTGTATCATTCCCAAGCCTGGCAATGTGTGCACAAAATTTTGCTTTCAAAGTCAGTCACGGTACAAATAGATAGAAAATATAGTGGACAGAAGTACAGAGGGATCATACAAAGCCATGAATCCATGCTTTAACCATCTGAATTATTTAACTGAAAATACTGCTTTTTACAGAGGAAGAGATGGATCAAAGGAAACATCAGGTGAACAGAAGTGAGATTGTGTAGTGTGGGGTAGGACAGGGGAGGCCTAGCCAGAGGGAGTAGAAGAAGAACAAATAGTAAGAAACTGTCTTGAATAGACCAGAACAAAACCACCACTGAGACAGAAAAACATGTCCACTGTTTCAACTGTAAAAAAAAAAAACAGAACATGACTGTAAAATTTGAACCTGAAAGTGCTCAGCCTCTACCCCTCCACTGCTCTGCTTACAAGTTAAAATTACATCCTAGAAAGTTTACATCATGGACTCCCAGCTCCCTGCAAATTTCAAGGGCACATTTGAGTTTTTGCTCAGTTCAAGCTTCTGCAGAGTTACAGAAGTGATGTTTTGCACAGCAGTTCACTCCAATATAACTTGAAATGACATTTTAAGATTTAGCTAAAATCATCCAAGAAGCTCCATATCAGCAGGAAAGAGTTGGTTGGTTGAGGGTTTTTTTAATAAACCACAAAGATACACAAAGAAATCACTGCAAGTTAGGCAGCAGTGAAGATTTGCAGCCAGTTAGCTGTCATGTGGTAACTCTCAAATTCAATCTGATTTTCTTGATTACTCAACTATTGAATTTGCTTCTGGTCCTCACAAGCCTCCTGGACAATGTGATCCTCTGTGTTGGCTGTTCTGCACTATCATCACCAGTATGGAAGATGAATTGCTGACAGAATGAGGCTGAGGTGTCCGAGGTGGTGGTCCCTGCAGTCTGCCCTGCGCAGGTAGCTCTCTGAGTTTCACTGCCTTCCAGAGATCAGGAAGAGTTCTTGAAATGCCCTTCTGCAGCTTGCAAGATGAGCAAACAACAGCACACATGGACAGAAGAAAGAACAATTCATCCTGTGCTGAATCAACACACTTTTTCCCAAAAGACAAGGTAAAAACCAATTCTGAAGGAAGATTTTACACAGCAAGGCAGTAAGAACCATGGCAGGGGCCTCAGGTAGGTACCAAGCCCGTATGTACCAAAGGCCATGATGGCTGGAACGCAGCCCAGGTGACCCTCGGACTTGCAGGCATGCTGGCTGAAGCAGAAGGTCAGATCTGAAGCTGCAAGGGTTAAACAGTAAGGTTTGCCCAGCCATGCCTCAGGGTGGATCACAAAGAGGAGCAAACAGTAGCAGATTGTCAGTCTCCAGCTCTTCTGAATCGCCACTCTCCCCACCAGGTCGGGCTAACTCCTCCTGCGAACAGCTCCCCGTACCTAGAGAGAGCTGGGAAGAGCTGGTAGTTCTTGATGATCCTGCTCTGGGTGGAACTCCAAGGTAACAGTTCTCTAGAACCTCTCTTTTTTTCCCCCATAGAAGCAGCCATCTACCACTCCCCTGACTCAGCCCAGGATTTTATTCTTTGCTGGTATTGCTCCAAGGCTTTAAAGAGCCTCTGTTTATTAATAGATGTAAATCTAAAAATGCTCCATAAAACAAATAAAAGTTTTTCATTTTCATGTAAATATGTGGCCTGCACGCAACAAAAGAGAGAGAGAAGAAAGGAAGGAAAGCAAGCGGATTCAAACTCAGCACCAGGGACCTTGGGTCCACTCACCACAAAATTTAGGGACAGGTATAATTCTCAATTTCCATGTAAGAAAAAGTGAAGCTCGCTCCCTCACTCTCTCACACACCACTTCTCACACTTCTCTCTTCCTAATGACCTCAGAGACTTCTACCTTGCTGTATGTTTCTTTAAACTGTAGTTGGATAATCCTCCAGATTCTGGGGGGCCCTTTGTCAGAGGAATTCCTGGGGATATTTCCCCCACTTGATGAGACTGAGTCATTAAATTAACAAAGGACGGACTAAAGAACTGATACTTAATGTGTAGGCACTATTTGAACTAGTTTCCTCAAACCAGTTTCATTTTTGCAGTCTTAGTCACATGCGAAAGACCTACACATAACGTTGCCCTATATCAACATGTATACTTGTTGTGGTAAGGCATTAGCTGTCTTTTTCCATCTGCTAAGCCACAGGAGTGTGGCGCTCAGATCACAGCTAACCCTTGCAGGAGGTTAACCTCCGCGGGAAAGAAAGCACAAACACCAATATGGTGGATGCTATCTGTTCGATTTATTAACTGCGCAATCGCTTTATATACCCCTTTCTGTACATCGCGAGATCTTTAGTTCCCTGTACTTTCCGTGCATCACGAGATCTTTTCATGTGCCTCCTGTTTTTCCCGTACATCGCGAGATCTTCCGAGCGCCTCCCCCTACATATACTAGAGTATATGGCTTAGTATATGGGTAGTACACAGCTTCAACTTGTAGGTGGTCAAAAGCAAATAGGTACATGTCACATGACTGCAAGACAAGCTCTGGTTAGAGTATACATACACAGAATTATAGACGAATAACTTAAAGTATGAATTAAAACCAAACAATTAAAGCCAGTTCTTTAGTTTCCACTCTGATTTCACTGAGCTTTGCTGTCAGAGTGATGTTAAATTTAAGCAATCAAAAAAAAAAAAAATCACTGGGGCAATAATTAGAGTACTTAAATGTGGAGACAGCTGGGGATGTGAAAATGCATTGTCAAGTGGATATGTGATTTCAGAACTTCTCCTGATGTAATCATGAACATACTACATCTGTTCACCTGAGGTGAATTCATGTGAAAACTCTCTAAATTAAAGAAAAAAAAGTTTTTCCTTGCTATACCATGAAAATAAACAGTAATTTCTGTCTAACATAAAGCTCTTTTTTTTATAGCATGCTACATAGCAAAACAATAAATTAATCCTGACCCAAAGATACCTTTTTAGTTTAGTTTGAAAAAAAATTACAGTAAATTAGCCATACCACACCATGTATAAAAACCAACCTTCCCATAAGTCACTGCAAGGCAATCTGAGAGCACAACTCTGTCAGCAGCACAATGCTGGTGCAGGAGCTGGGGCTCATGCCAAGGCGGGCCTGTTGCCCCTGAAAGCCACTACTGCCAGCTGGACTGGTGCTCCCCAGCCACCCCAGGCCACGGCGGCCAGTGCCAGCAGTGCTGCTGCCTGCTAGCGTGGACAGCAGCAGGCTGGGATTGAGAAGCTGTCATGTCCTCAGATTACTTTCTATGTAGTCAGGTTTGATGTGGTTTAAGACCAGATGC